CAGGCTTCATGAGGGAGGAGATGGCGCAGCGGGAGGCGGCCGAGCTGCACCGGAGCCACCAGAAGCCACGGAGCCCCGAGGGCTGGGGGCTGCTGCTGGCCCTCTGGTACTTGGCCTTCTACAAGCCCATCATCACCGAGGGCCACCTGAGGAGGAAGAACATCAAGTTCATCTTCATTCGCTTCAGCGCCTGGCAATACGCCGGCTGCGACAAGCTCTGGGCTGGTTTGGTCACCACCCTCTGCGACAGCGTCCGCCATCATTTTGGGGCTTTGCCCCTCAGCGTCTTCCACGTCATGGGCACCCGGCCCCGCTTTGCCTCCGGCTTCAGCCAGAAGGAGTGGGTGCTCAAGAGGGGCACCTGCCTCAAGCTTTGGGGGCTGCTCTTCGTCCTGGGTGCCGGCCTCAGCATCCTGCTGGTGGCCCTCTTGGTGCCCGGCATCAAGGACAACCACGCCTTGAAGGTGGTGGGCAGCGCTGTCACTTCGCTCTCCGGTTCCGGTTTGGTGCTGGGAGCTTTCTCCGTCCTGAAGAACCTGTTGGTCAGCGAGAAGCAGAAGATCGAACGGTTGACCAACAGCGAGAGGTTCGCCAATCAACTGGGCTTCATGAACAAGGTGCGCAGGGAGGTGGAGGTGCTGGTCAACTTCTTGGCCTTCATGGAGATCTTTGAGCGCCGCCGGCTCCGCGTGGTGCTGGAGATCACCAGCCTGGACATCTGCTACCCCGAGAAGGTGGCCGGCGTCCTCAACGCCATGAACACCTTGCTCTCCGACACCAACACCCCCTTCATCTTCATCCTGGCCGTGGACCCCAGCGTCATCGTCCCCTGCCTGGAGCAGACCGGCTGCATGAAGGGTCTTGCTGACAACGGTTACCTCTACCTCAACCGGACGGTGACGTTGCCCTTCTCCATCCCCGAGATGGGCGCCCGCTCCCGCCTGCGGTGCCTGGAAGCCGCCGTCCAGACGCGGGAGGACCTCATGTACCGCATCATCACCAGCAACGTGGAACGCCGCCAAGCCAAGTGCCGGGGAGTCTCGGAGGTTCCCAGCCGGCGCGAGATGGACGCCGAAGCCGTC